GTGCTGTATATATTCTTGATTTCTCATGCTAATTTGTTTACAATAGCTAAATTGCATTGTTCTTCGTCGCTAATTAGCAAACTTATTAACACTTTGATATAAAGAATAGCCTTTTATTCTAAACCTATTCTACTATAAACTACCATCCTCTCGGGTATCTTGGATAGTCCATATTTTAGTGGGATTCTGTACCTATTTGATAATGACATGCTTTCTCAGATCATGCAAATGTTCCTCTTTACTGTTTTTTTGGCATGGTTTTTCTCTTTTGGGCTTACAAATTCTTCTGATTTATTTATGATTCTTTTAGTTGGAGAAAAATTAAGTAATACTCCAGAGTTTTCTGCCTCATTATAAGTCGCTTTCTTTCTATTCCCATCCCGGTTCATTCATACTCCTGCTTCACGTCAGACTCCCTACTTCTATTCCTTATCAGAATTCCTGAAATTGTCTTTTCATCTATTCTCTAGGCTCTCAGGGCAAGCACTATTCTTCGGCGCCAATCAGCACTGTATCCTCGACTAGTAACATTGACAAAGAGGGTGGAAAATACCTCGGCGGTCTCCGACCTGGCGAGTCAGTTGTTTTTGCTTGCCTCGAGGTGGTTATCTGTGCCTTGGCACGCTATCAACCTGCTGTGTTGGAAGTGGCATCATCTACCACTGTTCCCACATCTTCGACAGCATCTGGTATAATCATAAAATCTCTCCACATCTCTTGTCTTTACCAGTTTTAGCTCTTTTCTACTTTATATCTTAATTTTTGTCTTATGTCCCCCACTAATTTTTCTCATCTACAGACTCCTATATCTCATAAATCCATCTTTTTTCTTCTCTCATACAATTTAATTTTCCTATTCATTTATACTATCCAGATCGCGTCTTATGACTACAAATGCCATTCAAATATCAAAGCTGATATTTAGGCGATGCTCGCCATAGTTTATCATAGCTGAATTGATCGTGATGAATTAAGAATAAGGCTTCACTTTGACGACGGATTTCATTTAGATTAATTTTGGTAAAGTTTTTTTATCAAGAGTGGACTGAAGAGTTGGCTCTACCTCAACCTCCAACGGGCTATAAAATCGCTCCCTTCGAGTTTTGGTAATATTATATCACCTGATCAGACTACTCGATAGAAACTGAGTT